GACAGTAACTGCTGGGATACTCCACTGCGAAAGCAGTTAAAGCCCCAGGGCAGGGAGAACCCAGCAAATCTGGGCAAGGTCATAAACTAGATCTGGTACAGGAGAACCTCAGTTTCATCTGGAGGTGTGAAGAGTTCTTGGCAATTAAAAAAGCCGAAAACCAGGAAAGCATGGGCTTTGTCTCTTGCTGACAGGTTGATATTTATTATCTGCTTCTTTTCTTAGATTGACCTGATTATCGGTCATTCCTAATGAAACCGGAAGGTTCTGTCATACTTAGAAAAATCTAAGGGGGAGAAACCAAAACACTAGCAAACAATAATTACCTTAGCCTGCAATTCAGGAAAGATTGATTAAGAATCTCATTTAGTCCAAAAAAAAAAGTAGTATCATTTATTTGAGAAAACAAATATGCTCCACCTTTTTTTTGTACTAGATAAGATTCTTAATGTCCAGGGCTCATCTTCATTTGAGAAAAGGTATTTGCTATTTTGAAATCCCTCCAGTGACTTTGCCTTTCTCTCTCTTTGGAAAGGCAGCATCTTCCACAACACAGTGTCCCAAACAATGCTGGATGGAATAGGTCTGGAGAAGCACTCAATTCCCTGGACAGTATTTGACCACATTTATATTGCTGTTGGATGAGTCTCATTGCAGTACTGGCCAGAACTGACCTTTCAGTTAATCCTTTTTGAACAGCCCATGGCTCAAGGTGTTGGGATGTCAGCCAACACGAAAGAAATATAATCCTAGAACACAGTGTATTGTTAATTTTTTTCTCATTTTAGAGAGGTTTTTAAGAGAAGCCTAGGATGAGGAAGTTGAATAGGAGAGGAGGAGACAAAGAGAAGGTGAATAAAAGGCATTTTCCATAATTGCTCATTCTGAGGTTGCTATCGTGAGCAGCCAACATGACAGCTGCCTGGCCTGGTCCAGACTGCCAAACCCAACAATATTAGAACAGTCTCTGTAGGTGGAGAACAAATGACAAGATGATGTGTTTTGTTTGTTGTAAGGAGCTTGCATGTAAATTCAACAGAGCCACTCACTTTCAGAAACTCTTGCTTGTTCTTTTATTTTGTAAACAAAACTTTTCCTAGCTGAGGCCTGCCACAGAACAGAGTCATGATAAAAAATGTTTCCATACCTGGAGGCAAGGGGCACTTGGAAACCTCACTTATTTGGCACGTATTTTTCCAAACATGACCAGGGTTTCCTAATTCTAAGACTGTCTGTTTACTTTAATTGTAATTCACTGTGGAGCTGGCTATAATTCAGTATCTAAAAGGGGCTAAAATTTAATAACTAGAAGTTCAAAATGCAATTACGTAAGGAAAGGGCGAGTTTGATCAGTTTGGAATTGGATGAAAATTTTTATCCTATTCTTTCACATCCTTAGATTAGGGTATTTCTTGACGTTTAAAGCAGAATATTTTTTTGAGAAGCCATAGGGAGAAAAATGAACTTAATTTCCAATATTTTCTGCAGTGATATGACAAGCTACACATGATTTTTAAAGTCTATAATAGCAACTTGGAGAATATATTGTCTGTTCTGTAATCCCTCCCCCCCGGAATTACACTGCCTTTTTTTTTATATTGTATTAGGTTCTGGGGTATATGTGCAGATCATGCAGGATTGTTGCATAGGTACATACATGGTAAAGTGGTTTGCTGCCTCCATCCCCCTATCACCTATATCTGGCATTTCTCCCTGTGTAATCTCTCCCCAACCTCCCCGTACCCTGCTGTCCCTCCCCTAGGCCCCCTCGACAGACCCCAGCGTGTGATGCTCCCTTCCCTGTGTCCATGTGTTCTCATTGTTTAACACCCACATATGAGTGAGAACATGCAGTGTTTGATTTTCTGTTCTTGTGTCAGTTTGCTGGGAAAGATGGTGTCCAGATTCATTTATGTCCCTACAAAGGACAGTAATTCATTGTTTTTTTTATGGCTGCATAGTATTCCATGGTGTGTATGTGCCACATTTTCCTTGTTCAGTCTATCATCAATGGGCATTTGGGTTGGTTCCAGGCCTTTGCTATTGTAAACATACATGTGCATGTGTCTTTATAATAGAATGATTTATAATCCTTTGGGCATATACCCAGTAATGGGATTGCTAGGAAAATGAACAGACACTTTTCAAAAGAAGACATATATGAGGCCAACAAACATAAGAAAAAATGCTCATCATCACTGGTCATTAGAGAAATGCAAATCAAAACCACACTAAGATACCACCTCATGCCAATTAGAATGGCGATCACTAAAAATCTGGAGATAACAGATACTGGAGAGGATGTGGAGAAATAGGAACACTTTTACACTGTTGGTGGGAGTGTAAATTAGTTCAGCCACTGTGGAAGACAGTGTGGCGATTCCTCAAGGATCTAGAAATACAATGCTTTTTTAGTTCCTCGTGTCTATTCATTTTGAAATATTAAGAACACAGAAGCAGTAAAAATGTACACAGTTTGAAGAAAAAGGCTGAAACACCTCACCACAGTTTATCCACTCACCCCTGACAAAAACTGAAATCCTAGAAACATCCTGGGTCAAAGACCTAGAGTTTTTATATAAACTGCTAAACCCTCAGAATCGTTTCACTCTATTCATTTTTTTTTTTAATCCTTGATGCCTGACCAGTGATGCGTAATCTGAAAGAGAAGAGAACGCATCTAAGTCCGTCATGGACCTTGAGTCAAGCAATACCCAGGAGACATTTAGTGACCCTTCCACAGCGCATTGTGCTCCTCTTCCACCTCTTCAGAGCAATTCCCACTTTCCCAGGATTCACTTAGTTGAATCTGACATAGTTGGCTTAAGTGTTATTTTCCCCATTTTACAGACAAAAAAACTGAAATCCCAAAGAAATACTTGGCTTGCCTTACGTATACAAGAACTAAGTGGTATGCTGGGACTTATGCATGCATAAGGTAACATATTTCAGCACGGGACTCCAATGATGATAGACATAGATGCCGTTATGAGTCATATAGGAGGACACAACCACCTATAGCTGCACACATCAAAACTGGGGAGGTTAATGGCAGTGGTTTATGAATCCTCCCAAGTGAGTTGTCCCCCTTCCTGAAGCTGGAGCTGCTCAGCTGGTGCGCTAAAGTTCTGGCATATCCTCCACTACTAAAATGAGTCATGAAAATAAGAACAGAAAATTCAAGTACAGTGTGTGTATGTGCAAGTGTGTGTGTATGTGTAAGCAAATGTACATATGCATATATATATATACACATTTATTCAATATCTATACATTTTTTTCCTTTCAGCTATCTACTTTGTGCCAGACATTATGCTAGGTGCTGGGAGTACAGTGCTGAGCAGTAAAAAAATAAAAAATAAAAGAAATACATATTAAATTCACAATAACATACAATTTTTTTCTTGCTGACAAAAAAGTTTCAAATTGTAATTTTGAAAAACCAAAATGAACAGTCATATACCACTGATGAGCTTATAAAATTGTATAAACTTCTTGAAGAGCATTTTGGTAATCAAAATGCATTGAATACAAAATGTACCTACCTTTAGAGCCAGCAGTTCAACTTCTAGGAATCTATCCTAAAGACGTAAAATGTGCTCAAGGCTTAACTGCTAGGAAGTTTATTATAGCATTGCTTATGAGAAGATGACTGTGAACCTGAATGCCCAACAATAAGGAGAATATGACTATATATTTTATATAGATGAATAATGAAAATAAGAGTCACTACATCATATGTGCATGTTCTAAGTACTTTACCTGTATTAATGCATTTAATACTTGCAGCAATTCTATGCAGTAAGAACTGTTACTAACCTTATTTTATGGTTGAGGAAACTGCAGCACAGAGAAGTGAAATGATTTGCCCAGGGATATACAGTAAAGGGCAAGACCAAGAACTGATCCAAACAGTCCGCCTCCAAAAGACCACTCCTCAGTCAATATGCTTACTTCTGATGTGTTCCTAACATGGAATTCTATTCAGCCATGAAATATGATTTCAGAAAAGGATCCAGAAGAGCATATGTTAAAGTATTTATAATCATTCTCTTGGTGTGTGAAATTGTGAGTATTCTTCATTTCTCATTTACATTTTCTATTAATTGTTTGAAATGTATATAATATTTTTGAAACTATAAATAACACTGCATAAAGGAGAATGGGAGCCAAGAAAAGATTTTGTATTAAAAGAACAATAACAACACCAGCTGGGCTGCCGTCTCTGGCTTTCACAGTGACACACCACCTTTGGGTACGCACAAGCCAAGAGTAAGAGGAACTTCCTCTTACAAAGTTTCAAGCCTCATCTAAAATACCCCAAATGCTTATACACTTTTGCCAATGCAGGCCACACATCTTGTTACAACATGTACAATAGCATATGTGTCCCAAGTAAAACTAAGAGGACAATGAAAACACTTAATAGCACCCTGAAGAGAGAGAGAGAAAGGAGCGTAATTAAAACTTTGGAGATTCACCAGAAGTCCTTATTTTATTATAATGGACACTAAAGCAGTTCGCTATAGGCCATTGTAACTGAGGTTCCAGCCACAGCACACCGAGAACACTACAGTGAAGCTCTGCTTGTTCCGGTATTTACTGCTTTATTCAACATTGGGAGTGGTAGCAAACATTAATCTCTTTCAGGGCATCCATGTCATATGGGAATAATAAACAGTCTCAAGGAGACGCAGGTGAGATCTCCCGGCCACAAATACACTCAGTCCCTTCAACAGTAGAACCTCTTAACATGGCTTATTCACCCAATTACCACTAAACCGAAATGTCAGAATGCAACCTCATGGATTCCAGCTGGTAGAGGCTCCCAAGACTCCAGAGTTCCTTTTTGCCTTCAAAACAGCATACCCAGAATGAGCAAAGCACTGCTGGCTGCTCCCTTGTGACAGAAATGTGAAAGTCTGAAAAAAGCTGTGTGTAGATGGAGCACAAACGTGAACAACTGGGATTGCATAAAGAACTCAGAATGTTGGAACCAATGTTGTCCATTTTGAATTTTATTTCACGGTCCATGTTATTTTACAATTTAGATGTTGTGAAAAATAATGCTTAGAGATGATAAGTTGGTTTATTAGCAAAATAATGGGTACATGCTAACATATCTAACATATTCGTAAGGTGTGAAAAAGTAAGCAAAGGTTCATTTTTACTACTATCTCCCCCAATCACTCTCCAGTAAAAAAAAAATTAAAAGGGGAAAATTGGGTGCATCCTGAAGGAATTGGAGCGTAGCTGGTTTGGGCTAAGTGCTACCCTCTGAACCTAACCCTGGTGATTCCAGGTCTCGTTGCACGGAGATGTGCCAGACAGTTCAAAGTGTGAGCCTGACACTTGCTATATTGCCAATGAAGAGTGCCGGCGCTCTATTGATCTCAAAACTAAAAATAGCCAAGCATGACGCTTCCCTAAACTTCTGTATTTGTTCTATGCCCAAACTTCTGCTTGGAGGATCACAACAATGGTCACTGGGTCAATGCAGAGTTTGACAATTGGCAGGGCAATCAGTGCTCATTGAAGAATCACTCACTGAGTCCGACAGCTTTTGTTTTGTTGGCACTGGGGCCACCTCCACGAGCAGGTTCTTCTATTCATAAGTAGAAATACGCTGCAGTTTCATTTGGTTCAGTAGAACACCAAACATAGGAATTTGGACAATGTTGTGAAACATTCTGATGTTATTTTTTGAAGACTCAAAATGTTCAACCGAACACCATTACTGTCCTGAAGTGTATTAAACAGAGGGCGAGATCCCTGAATTCACCAACTTAGAGGTTCATGAAATCTTTGGGTGTTAGGCATACTTAGGCCTTCATGAAATCTTTGGGTATTAGACATACTTAGAATTTTCTGAAACCTTTGGGTATTAGACATACTTAGGCCTAGTTTCCTGGAATATATATCTAGACTGTGTCCAATAAGTCTATCAATGTCAGCAGCAAATGGGTGTCCAAAATCCACTTCAAAAAGGAAGGTGAACTTAAGGGACTACCAGAAAGCAATTGGGGCCCCACTTAGTGAAAAAGAGGCAATTAAAGTGACCTTTAAATAAGATGACCTAAAGCTGGTGTGCTACCTTAATACTTCATGGGAGTTACACTCTAGCAAAGCTCAAACCAGCCTAGGTAATCACACCGAAATGAACCTCTGTCATTCACATACATATATCTATATATGAATTTGGCACCTGTGTGTTTGTAACTAACATGATCTGATCCACACACTCAAGAACAATTAAGTGGACAAACAGTCATTTGCCCTTTGAGCAGGAAGTCAGTTTCTCCTAATTTCTAAATGCCAGTTTTAATAACTGCTATTGGTCCTCACCTTTATGCACTGTCATTATTAAGGACTGTTCCTTCATTGATCACCAGAAGCCTGTCCTTTTGCAGTGATGTCACAAGCATGAAGTGCTGTGGGGACCAGTGCCTCCAGAAGTGTCCCAGACCAGCAGGGACATCACTGCAAGAGGACAAGGTTTTCCTATGGTCTGGTGAATTGTTAATGCTACTCCTTCCCTATTTATAGGTGTCATAGTTTGGTGAGAGAAATTACACAGTTACGTTAGGTTAAAGGTCAATGTACTACCAATTCACATTGAAGCTGTTCCCCTCACTGCCCATTATACTCACTTAACTAGATTAGCTTTTACTCGTGAATCCTCAGACATATGGTTTAACGCGAATCGCAAGCTAGACTCCTCCCTTCCTCAGGACAATACTGTTTTGGAAACCTCGTTGTTGTTCTAATTCTTACTAATCCTTATGTTCTTAATCCACTCCAATGGGTCTCCCTAACTTAAAGAATCACATTTGGAGACTACATCCTGGAAGCGTCTGGACTCATTGGGGAAATGAATCTACCATATTCCCCATGATTAAACTTCTCCTATTAGCTCTCTCACAAGATGTAACAGTTTTGATAAGATCCCAAAATTCTATAATAGCTAATTCTAGGACAATGGGCATCTTCTTGCTCTATATAGCAATAACCAAGAGAGTAATCCACTCATGTGATCCTCACAAGACAACAAAATAGCATTTTTTCTCATTTAAGACAGTATATTTCTCAATAATAAAAAGACAAATAACCCAATTAAAAATTGGCAAAATATTTCAATAAACATTTCTCCAAAGAAGATGTACAAAGGGCCAATGAACACATGAAAAGATGCTCTACATCATTTGTTGTTAGAGAAATTCAAATCAACATCACCCCTCACACCCTAACGTTAAGATAGCTAGAATCAGACTGGGCATGGTGGCTCATGCCTGTAATCCTAGCACTTTGAGAGGCTGAGATAGGAGGTATTCTTGAGCCCAAGAGTACAAGACCAGTCTGGGCAACATAGACCTCATCTCTACAAAAAAATAAAAAGATTAGCCAGGCATGGTGGTGTGGTCCCTGCTACTCAGGAGGCTGAGGTGGGAGGATGGTGTAAGCCCAGGAGGTCAAGGCTGTATCACACCACTGTACCAGCCTGGGTGATGGAATGAGACCCTATCTAAGAAAAAAGATAATTGTAATAAAAAAGACAGACAATACAGGTATTGATGAAGATGTTGAGAAATTGAAATCTCCATACATTGCTAGTGTTGTAAAATGGTGCAACCAGTTTGAAAAACAGTCTGGCAGTTTCTCAAAAAGTGGAACATAGAGTTAACATATGACCCAGCAATTCCATACCTAAGTATATAGCCAAGGGAAATGAGTTCATATATCTTCCTGAAAATGTACACAAATGTTCTTACATTATTCATAATAGCCAAAAAGCAGAAACAATCCAAATGTCCATCAATGAGTAAGTGGATAAATACAATGTGATATGTCTATACAGCAGAATATTATTCAGTCATAAAAAGAATGAGGTACACTTTGCCCTAAACAGCACATGTTTTAACTGTGGGGGTCCACTTCTACACAAATTTTCTTCTATCACTGCCATCCTGAGATAACAAGACTAACCCCTTCTCTCAGCCCTTCTCTTCAGACAATGTGAAGACAGTAAAGATGAAGAGCTTTATGATGACCCATTTCTACTTAATGAATAGTAAATACATTTTCTCTTCCTTGTGATTTTCTTAATAACATTTTCTTTCTTCTGGCTTACTTCATTGTAAGACAAATATATTTTACTGATCGTATTGTGTAATACATTTAACATATAACATATGTTTTCTATTGTTTATGTTATCAGTAAGGCATCTGGTCAACAGTAGCTATTAGTAGTGAAGTTTGTGGGAGCCAAAAATTATACTTGAATTTTTGACAGCGCCAAAGTTCAGTGTCCCTAACTCCTATATTGTTCAAGGGTCAACTGCACTGATTAATGCCACAATCACATAAGCCTTGAAAACATTTTGCTAAGTGAAAAAAGACAGACACAAAAGGACAAATATATAATTTCATTTATATGAAATGTTCAGAATATGCAAATCTGTAGAGACAGAAAGTAGATGAGTTGCTTCCAGGAGCTGGGAGTAAAGGAAAAGTGGAGTGATTGCTAATAAGCATGTTTTTTCTTTTTCAGGGTAGTGGGTGCAGGTGACGAAATGTTCTGAAATTAGTTAGCGGTGATGGCTATGTAACTTTGCAAATATACTACATGTTAAAATGTGCACTCTGAATGAAGAGACCCCCCCCACAAACAGGCTTTGTATGAGCAACATGGCTGTTTATTCACATGGGTGTGGGTGGGCTGAGTCGAAAAGAGAGTCAGCAGAGGATAGAGGGATAGGAGTTGGTTTTACAGGTTTGGGGCAAGTAGTGGAGAGTTACAGAAGTTACAGTTGAGGGCTGTTTTTTTGAAGCTGGGAGGGGGTCGTAGGGTCTGGAGTCATGAGTTTGACCAAGGTTGGTTACAAAGTCCAATGGCTTTGTCAATTGAGGCCAGAATAAGAATAATAGAAGAACATCTCAAGTTAAGTAGGTGCCACGGTGGTTGATCATTCTTCTGCTTTCCAGTTACTTCAGGTTTTCTAATTCCAGAAGGCCCTCCAGAGGTGTACATGTGGGCCATGGTGCCGTCAGTCAGCCTAAAAGACCTTACACTAAAAGCCACTGAATTGTACACTGTAATAGAATGAATCTTAAGGTTAGGCAAATTATATCTCAATTAAAAAATAGATTATGCTGTTTGGTTGTAGCTAGACTAATGAGTTATTGTTGTTGATGTTTTGGAAGTGATGTTACATCTAGAAATAAAAAAGGAGAGAAACTTTGCACATAAGGTAAACTCTTTGTTTTATTGAATGACCCTTCTATCTGTCCCTCTTCATGCCACATGGATTTTGCATTATATGTCATCACATTAGTAATGTAACTACTACTTTTCTGATTGGTCTCTCCAAGGGATCCACAAGTAATCCCACTACAGCATGAAGACATTTTACTTAAAAAAAAAAAAAAAAAAACGAAAAAACTTACCAAACAGGTAAATTTTTAAGGAGTTTACATTGAATAGTGAAATTTTTGTGATTTAAAATATGATAGCATTCACAAAGATTGATTTGCATTGACCTTAAGAAACATGTGATCGAAAGGTCCCCAGTATATTATAATCAGTATTCTGAAAGGATTTGCAAACTACAGCTCCAGGGCAACATCTGGTCTGCAAAGGCACCTGGTGTGGATTTCAGAATATTTTGTAAGCCAGAAAACCTTATAAAAATTGTGAATTGATGCCTTCTTTAACAAAATTGAAAAACCTGGGAATACTACCTCTATTTTATTCCAAGGAAGCAGTGGGCTGGAGGTAAAAAGTGGCTGCTCCTTTTGGATGAGGTAGTCAATTTCTACTTTGCCATAGTCCCTGACGTTCCCTGTTGGTCACACACTCAGCCCATGTCATACATTTACACCAGCTCCCTGATTGTTTAGGCATCTGGGGTTATGACTTCTTTTGAAATTTTGAGGTTATCAGAACTTTTGGTGTTTTCTTTATTCCCTCTGCCATTTTTCTTTTCTTTTTTCCCTCCCTTCTTCCTTTCCTCTATTTTTTTTCCTTCTTTCCTTTCTTTCTTCCCCTCTCTCTGTTTCTCTCTCTTTCTCTTGGTGCATACAAACTTGTGTTTCTCACCTAATTAGCTCAGATTCACAGAACAGTTGGATTTGGGCTCATTAACACCTTTATTATTGTTGTTTTTTAATCAGTATAGCCTGACTTGGAGAATGTGGCCATATAAAAACTCTCCAGCACAGCTTTTCATGCAGATCAGAGAGATTACTTTCTTTCTCTATTATGTGAAAATACTTAAAAGACTTTTATTGGTAGTTATAAAGGCATCTCCATTTCCTCTCCCACTTTAACTAAATTAATCACAGTAATGACTTTCTCTGTCCCATTATTGTAGCAGAAGTACAAAATAGAGACACTGAGAGACTGGAGGGGCCAACGAGTTTGAGAATGTTGGATAATTTTCATAGGGAAGCATGAGCTGCCCTTTACTAAGACATACATTTTTTCATGTTGTCTGCTTCAGTAAGACAAAGGAAAGTACACCTAAATGTGAATCTGATATGAATACATGTTCAGTTCTCCTGGAAGGAGACTCTGGGACTGAGTTTAGTGTGTAGGATATTTACTAAGGACTATGTTGGAATCAACACTTATCCAAGGGACAAGTCAAGCTGTGATGTAGGCCCGAGGAACTTTAAAGCCAGAAATGTCCTCAAGAGATGTTCCTCATCAGGCCAAGATGGCCAAGCCTTTGTGTTCCTTCATCAAGAAGTTATTAGCGCTCAACTGCTCCAGGAATGGCATGGATTTGGCTTAGAAGACTTTTGCAAATGAAACAGTCTCCGAAGGGAATGATAGCTCTAGTTGTCTTCTGATCAACCCCAGTAGCTGAGGCAATAGTTACTTCACTGAAGAGGCATCCAGGTGGCACATTTTAGTCACCACCACAAATGACACAGCACACAGCTGTTAGTTTCAAGCAATCAATCGATAAATCCATTTGTAAGTGGTATATAAATATATTAGTTCATTCTCATGCTGCTATAAAGAACTGCCCAAGACTGGGTAGTTTAAGGAAAAAGGCTTAACTGAGTCAGTCCCACGTTGCTGAAGAGGCCTCAGGAAATTTACGACCATGAAGGCAGCTCTTCTCAGGGCAGCAGGAGACAGAATACAAGCAGGGGAAATGCCAGATGCTTATAAAACCACCAGATCTCGTGAGACTCGCTCATTATCACAAAAACAGCATGAGGGAAACTGCCCCCATGATCCAATTACCTCCACCTGGTCCTGCCCTTGACAGGTGGGGATTATCATGGTGAGGTTTGGCTGGGAACACAGAGCCAAACCATATCAGCAAATATAGTAGATATTTAGGTGGAATGGACTTCATTTTATTTTCAGTCACTTGATGAATGAATTTTAAGTCTCTCTCTTTCTTTTCCTCTTGCTTCTAAGCCGAGAGTAGAATGTGCAAACCAGTACAAACTGGATGCCAACAGCATACATGTCAACTCTTTTGTAAAATCATAATTAGCCAGTCTAGGAATTCTATCATCTAACTATCAATACCCATATTAAGGCTGGTAAGAAAAGCAAAATGAAGCCTATAAAAGCTACTCTGGAAGCCAGATGTGGTGTCTCATGCTTGTAATCCCAGCACTTTGGGAGGCTGAGGTGAGTGGACTTGAGGTCAGGAGTTTGAGACTAGCCTGGCCAACATGTTAAAACCCTGTCTCTACTAACAATAGAAGAATTAGTTGGACTGGGAATGGTGGCTCACACCTGTAATCCCAACATTTTGTGAGGCTGAGTCAGCAGATCACTAGAGCCCAGGAGTTCGAAGCCAGCCTGAGCAACATGGTGAAATCCTGTCTCTATCAAAAATACAAAAATTAGCCTGGCCTGTGGCATGCACCTGTAATCCTACCTACTCGGGAGGCTGAGGCAGGAGGATTGCTTGAACCCGGAAGGCAGAGGTTGCAGTGAGCTGAGATCATGCCATTGCATTCTAGCCTGGATGACAGGGAGAGACCCTGTCTCAAACAACAAAAACAAAAACCCTAGTAGGGTGTGGCGGCAGGTGCCCGCAATCCCAGCTACTCGGGAGGCTGAAGGAGAATTGTTTAAACCTGGGAGGCAGAGGTTGCAGTGAACAAGATCACCACTGCACTTCAGCCTGAGTGACAGAGCCAGACTCCATCTCAAAAAAAAAAAAAAAAAAAAAAAGCTACTCCGGGAGCATTCCTGATCCTAGTCTCAGGAAGCACAAGCTGTTCAAGATCTGTCACAAGGGTGATACATCTGCTTTAGGTCTTGAGGGGCTGAGCCTTTGTGAATTTGATAGGACAAGCAACAGCATTTTTTGGATTTGGACTCAGTGAAGCACACAGACTCCATGAACTGGCTGGGTGACAACTACTTATTTCTTTGCTCTTTTTGTTTTTAAAATCTCTTTCTCCCTCTTCTCATTCTCTGAGATTCTCTCATCCACAGTCCCAGTATTGCTGTTACATTTGAATAACTCAAAAAAAATTCACAAATTCTGATTTCTATAATCTCCAGTTATATATTTTAATTTCCTTAGAGAATCCCAAACTAATGTTTCTCTTTTCTGTGCTTCATTTGAAATGATCGACACAGAAACTTCTTTAATAGTAATCTTTATGGTTCAAAAACCAAGACATTTATTTTGACTTCAAAATAATCTCTATCTTTGCTTCATAATTACACTTAGTGTCTTTGCAAATGTCAAATCTTTTATTAAGGCTTTTCCTTATTTTATTAACTCTAAATACATATTCATGAATAAAAATTACGTCACACTTTGAAGTACTATTAAGCTTTCTAAAATTTTATTTCAAGCATATTCTGAACATTAGTACACTCACAATATATTTAGTCATTTAAAATGGCCCTCAACAGAGATTTATAATCAAATTCAAGACTACCCTAAGCAAAATAAGAACTTACAATACAAAATTAAATCAGATTATTTGCTTTCATGTTTTCTCTGCAGCACGTTTTGCTCTGAATTATTTTCTTCACTTTACTTTTAGGACTAAGCTCTAATTTTTTTTTTATCTTGCCCAAATTCCTATCTAAGGGATCTGGGGAGACATGCCCTAGAAACCATAAATTCTCATCAGATGAGTTTTATTTAACCCTGTATATCGTGACTTACTTTCTAATCTGACTCTGGAATAATGAGAAAGAAAGTCAAAATGTTTTGCCCCAAAATATATTTCCTTGCCATACCTTGAATTCGCCCTGTAAAGTCTCTTGTGAGAAAAATCCACATTCTGTAGAGAATCTCCTTTCCTCTTTGTTGTCCTTCCTTCCTTTCCAGATCCAGGGGGTAATCAGCCAAGAGCCAGCCACCCTGTTAAGTCAGATAAGAAATATTTTACAACCTGCTCTCTCTGAAGTCTGCTGTCTGAGAGCTTCCTCGACAGAATAAAACTTATTCTCCACAGTCCTTTATCTTAACCTCAACATTTCCTTTCTATTGATTTCAGGTATTCAGACAAACTCAACTAATTGTCAACCAGAACATGTTTAAATTTACTTATACCCTGGAAGCCCTGCTTTGAGTTTTCCCAGAGCTTCCTCTGCACAATAAAACATATTCTCCACAATCCTTTATATTTACCTCAACATTTCCTTTCTATTGATTTTGGGTCTTCAAACTCAACCAATTGTCAACCAGAAAATGTTTAACTTTACCTATAGCCTGGATGCTACAACTTTGAGTTGTCCTGCCTTTCTGAACCAAATGAATCTATTTCTTAAATGTATTTGATTGATGTCTCATGCCTCCCTAGAATATATAAAACCAAGGTGTACCCCAACCACCTTGGGTACTTGTTCTCAAGACCTCCTGAGGGTGTCACGGGCCGTGGTCACTCATATTTGACTCAGAATGAATCTCTTAAAATATTTTACAGAGTCTGACTCTTTTCATCGGCAACTTCAAGTGTGGACTTCAAGTGTCTGTTTTTAGTCCCAGTGCCTTTGATATTCAAGAAGAAATTGTCCTTAAAAGGATAAAGTGTATTTCCTTAAAATACACAGTTTGCATCCACTCATTTATTTGTATTTTTATTGCCTTTGCAGTTCAGACTACTTATAAACATTCATTAATCAGCAGTCTGTCCTTAGTTCAAATATTTCAGAATTTAAAAATCATAAATTGCTTTGAAGTGTACATTTATCTTTCTTCTTAGAACATTTGGAAATATTGACAAAATATATTTAAAGACAGTTTAAAGATCATTATAAACTTAGTTCCATTTGTCTAGTTACAATACATATAGTTGTGATAGCCATACATATATCCATACAAAGAAAACAAAAAGGGAATATTTATTAAATACAGATAAAAATGCCAATGAAAACTTGCATGCCAGAAAAATATTTGAGGGTGATTTTTACATAAATCTTTGTCTTATGCTTGTTAGTGGGCTGGGTTGTAACAGAGGCATGTTGCCCAAGTGGCATGGAAAGCTGGTGAGAGAATAGAGTAGGAATGGAGAAATTAAATGACAAATAGAAATCATTCACCTACTGAGTTTTACCATGTACAAAAGGCAACATTTAAAAATATATGACTTTTATTACATCTGCTAAGTAGGAATAACTTTCTTTCTTTCTCTTTCTTTCTTTCTTTTTCTTTCTTTCTTTCTCTTTCTTTCTTTCTTTCTTTCTTTTTCTTTCTTTCTCTCTCTCTCTCTCTCTCTCTTTCTTTCTTTCCTTCTTTCTTTCTTTCTTTCTTTCTTTCTTTCCTTCTTTCTTTCTTTCTTTCTTTCTCTTTCTTTCCTTCCTTCCTTCCTTCCTTCCTTCCTTCCTTCCTTCCTTCCTTCCTTCCTTCCTTCCTTCCTTCCTTCTTTCTTTCTTTCTTTCTTTCTTTCTTTCTTTCTTTCTTTCTTTCTTTCTTTCTTTCTTTCTTTCTTTCTTTCTTTCTTTCTTTCTTTCTTTCTTTCTTTCTTTGACAGAGTTTCATTCTTGTTGCTCAGGCTGTAATGAAATGGCGCTATCTCGGCCCACCACAACCTCTGCCTCCCTAATTCAAGCGATTCCCCTGCCTCAGCCTCCTGAGTAGCTGGGATTACAGGCATGCGCCACCATGCCCAGCTAATTTTGTGTATATGTGTGTGTGTGTGTATATATATATATATATATATTTTTTTTTTTTTTTTTTTTTTAGTAGAGACAGGGTTTCTCCATGTTGGCCAAACTAGTCTCAAACTCCTGACCTCAGGTAATCCACCTGCCTCAGCCTCCCAAAGTGTTGGGATTATAGGCGTGAGCTTCTGCAACCTGCCAGAATAACTTATTTCTCCATTCAATGTTGTGTTACTATATCTGCATCATCAATCCCCTTTCTTTTGCATGTGGGGAAATGCCAGACAAATAGCAGGAAAGAGGTCCTTGCCTCCATCACTGTTCATGGAAGAGAGAAAAGGAGAAAAAGAGAGAAGAGAATATTCACAGAAAACAATAATTTCTCTACCATATCAATGAGAAAACAGTTTATTTCCAGAAACATTAACATAAAAAGAGAATAAACTCATGTTGATGATGACTTGGAGTTGGCAAGAAAGCTTGCACAGGCTTTTTCTTTACTTTTCTTTTCTTTTTTTTTTTTTTTTTTGAGATGGAGTCTTGTTCTGTCACCCAGGCTGGAGTGCAGTGGTGCGATCTTGGTTCACTGCAACCTCCACCTCCTGGGTTCTTGCAATTCTCCTGCCTCAGCCTCCCAAGTAGCTGGGACTACAGGAGCATGCTGCCATGCCTGGCTAATTTTTTTGTATTTTTAGTAGAGACGGGGTTTCACCATGTTGCCCAGGCTAGTCTCAAACTCCTGAGCTCAGGCAATCTTCCTGCCTCGGCCTCCCAAAGTGCTGGGATTGCAGGCATGAGCCACTGCGCCTGGCCTCCACAGGCTTTTTCTAATCATATGGTAATATCATGTTAGGTGGCAAATTCTTTAATTGCCTTAATAATTTGTGATTCCAGTGGTCAGATATACTTTGCAGATGTGAGATGCATAGAAACATATTTCATATTATCACACAACATTTTGAGTTTGCTTTTTCCATAGAAACTGAATGCTTTTATCTGTCCCTGTGTCTTAGAGATGAGTAAAAAGAAAAAAATCCACTACTTTTGTAGTGCTTTGTCATCTGCTTTGTGTTTTACATCCACTTTTTTATAGTTTTTTTTTTTTAACTCTTCAGAAGAAATTTCAAACTTTTCTTCACAAGAGATTTCTAATTAAGACGGCCATTATTTTTTTGAGGCACTTTCTGAAGACCCCTCTCTCCGCACCAGTTTGTGTTTGGTACTCTGTAGATGCTGTGAGGATTTCACTGAAGTAAAATATGTGTTTTCTACGGGGGCCAACCATAGCCTTTGAATATTCTTTGTGCAAATTTGACAAAGGCACCCCTTCTCTGGCAGTTGTAGCTCTGCACAAGGGTATGAAGCCTGGAGAGCAGAGTACAGACTAGATTTCAGACCCTGCTTAGACCTCAGCTGGGTGCTTAACTGAAAAAATAAAAAAGATTTGTAACACTATATGTCTGACATGAGATAGTGGAAAGATCTGATCCAGGTACTCAGGATTCCAGGCGCTAGAGGCTCTCTCACTGTGGCACACGACCATCTAGAATAGCCTTCTTGAGTGTCAAGGAAGTGGAGAGGAGACAGAGAGGTAAAGAGCCAGCTGCACTTTGGCCTTCCACCCACAGACCATTGGCAGAACTAGCCACATGGCCTTGCTCACATCCAAAGGGGCTGAGAAATTCAGGAGAGCCAAAGGACGTTTTGTGGGCACTATTATCTCTATCAAAGCTACAGTCTTTGAGGGATATATTTTTAGATGTTTTTATCCCTAGAGTACCTAGCATAGTGCTCTATACACAGAAACCACTAAATATTCATCATACTGAATTTATTAAATTGTTTGACTCAACTCATTTTGCTTTCCTTTTGCATGTTGTTTGCCTACTTTAAAAGGAAACCTGCCTTTTTGAAAGCCTCTTATTTACCTTTTGGATCTTTTGGGAAAGGTGACACATAAATCTATGCACATTGATAAATTTCCCTTGGGGACTATCTAGGAGCTGTGACAGAAAAAAACTAAAGTAGAAAAGAGAAATAAGACCTCTTATTTACGTCTCTGTATCAGAAACAAACGCTTTGAAATAAAACTGAAAACACAGATGAGGAAAGAGTAGGAACTGGTTCTCACCAGGAAGACTCTTCTCTTTGCCAAAACATCTGTTTGCTGTTGTGTAGACATGGTCTCTCCGACTTGAACTACATTTAAAAGTATGTTGTTACGTATTGATCTATGACTAAAGGTTACATATGGAATCTTGTGAAATTTACTGATGGCTTTATCACTGAGAGGTAGAGCTTAAAATATTCCAGTAACCCTCAAGCTAAATCTTTGAGGCTGTGGGAAAGGAGCTGAAGTTGGAAACACAAATTTGCTCTATCCACATCAGCAGAGGTATTTAGTGTAACGTGCAGGAGTACTTGTGCATCTAACAGTGAAAGAACTCATCTGTGCCTACTCTGGATGGTACTGGCATGGGAAGTGGAAGGGAAATGGGGAAGAAACAATCTTTGATACTGTCGACAGCCCTTTACCCCTTGGTCCTTGAGTTTCTTCTTTTGTTTCTTTTTCTTCTGTGACTAGTTCCTTCCTGCTTCTACTCTTCCCTCTCTAACCATTTTGTCCCTCTTTTCCTACCCTGGCTCCTAGACAGTCCCCCAGGAAATTTATCAATACGCATAGCTCTGTGCACCACCTTTCTGCAATAGGAGCAATCCATATTTGCGAGCAATCTATATTTGCAAGCAATAAATGTAGGACTTCAGTTTCCCAGTGCATAGCATCTAGGAAATTATCAGCATAAATTTCAAAAGTTATAGATCTGGTCTGGCTTTGATATTATCTCTCATTGGGGTTTTGGGACAAATTGTTTAACCTCCCTGAACTTCAGTTTTCTTTTATATGAAATAAAAATAGTAAAATGCATCTTGCTTATACTTGCAGAGCTGTTGTGTGAGTGAAGTGTGAAAACAGTGAGAAAAGACTGTTTAATATACAGCCAGTCCAATTAAAAAACTCTAATATTTATTAGTGAGAAAAAAATCTTAAGCTATGGCTTCTTTCCAGCCTCAGTTCTGAATTTCCCCCATTTGCTAGGTATCTGCCTCCACACTTCAAAGCTATCTTTAAACACCTTAACTCCAACATCTTCAGAAGCAAATTCTATCTCCTGTTTCCCATGATATTTACCTTCCCCTGGTTCATTTCTCGAGCTTCTTCTATTAATCCATGTCATCACCACCCACCCATTTTTTTCC